TCTCTTCATACTAATATCCTTCTAGTTGTGTCCCCTGAAGTGTTTTGTCCTGTTGGCACCGTTATATGGCATTCTAGTGCCCCCTTTTATTTGTGTCATGTCTGAGCATATCATTTTTTGTTAAAGGAAGGATTTTTTTAAAAATACCTTTATTCTATTTATTCATTTGTATGTGGTGCTGAGGTTTGAACCAAGGGCCTCATATGTGCTAGGTAAGCACTCTACAGTTGAGCTATTGCCCCAGCCCCGAGCTTTGCATTTTTTAAATTAAGGGAGACCCCACCCCAAATCCTCATAGAAAATTTTGAAATCATAAAAAAGAAAAAAGGGAGAAGGATGAGACCCACAACACTACTACTCAATAACAATTACTTCAAAACTATTTAATTTTTGTTTTATGTACTTAGTCATTTGTAGCATATACAGAGAAACTTGGGAAATGCCAATGAATACCAAGAAGAAAAAATTGAATCACATGTAAATTTATACTGTATATATAGATTTGTATCTTTATTTTAATTAATTAATTTATTTATTTTTTAAATTTTGGGGTACTTGAACCCAGGGGCATTTAACCACATCTCAGTACTTGACTATTCTATGTACATCATATAAGATAAATTCCACAACAGTTGTCCTTTTGTATCTGGTTTATTCGCTTAGCAGAATATCTTCAGGGCTGGTCCATGTTGTAGGCTGGATCCTGATTACTTTTCTCTCTTCATTTCTGCTATAATCCATATGGCTTTTAATGGCATCATCCATTCTACTGTGCCAGATGTGGGAGGATTCTCCGTTAAAAATGTTGTTTGATTCCTCTCCTTAATTCTGTTAGCTCTGTTTAACTCTCCAGCTGCCATCACTTAGATCTCTTCTTCAATTAAATAGACTAAGTTTTCTTCATTTCTTTACAAACATTAGGTTGAAGTTGTATTGATCTTTGAGAATGTCTTCTTCTGGAAGAGTCCTTTGTCCTTTGGCTCCTCTTTGAATAGGGGGTTGTTTATCTGCCCCCTCCACCCTGTGAATTCTTTTTTTTTTTTTTTTAAGTGAGAGTGAGATTGAGCTGGGGATGTGGCTCAAGTGGTAACACGCTTGCCTGGCATGCGTGTGGCCAGGGTTCGATCCTCAGCACCACATACAAAGATGTTGTATCCGCTGAAAACTAAAAAATAAATATTAAAAAATTCTCTCACTCTCTCTTTAAAAAAATAAAGTGAGAGTGAGAGACAGAGAGATAATTTTTTAATATTTATTTATTTATTTTTAGTTTTCTTTGTTTGTGGTGCTGAGGATTGAACCTGGGCCCACGCATGCCAGGCCAAGTGCGCTACCGCTTGAGCCACATCCCCAGCCTAACCCTGTGAATTCTTGACTCACCCTGTTTACCTTGTTTCTTTTGCTGTTTCAAATGCAAACTGGCTGGCTGGCCGGATGTTGTCATCAGTTTGCAATCTCTGTTTAGTCATTTAGCTTCTCTGGTGAATAGAGGATATGACCTGAATTAATAGGTAGCTGAGGTCCCATTTTGGCTATGTTGTCTCAGCATGTTTTTTACAGGGAATCCAGTGAACTGTCTCCCATGGAGGTATGCACAGATCCCTAGGAAGTGGTCTCCCCCCTGAGACCTTTCCTTTTCTTCTCACAGACAAGCAGGTCATTCTGGTTGAAATCTCTGCCCTTACATGCAACACGGTACCCAAGGTTTTGATTTGATGGGTCATCTTCTGTTTATATAACTTAAATAAGTATGCTTAAATAACTTCAATCCACAGTTGCATAGATGATTTTCATCTTGTGATTTCTTTCCTCTATGAAGAACAGCTATTTAATTCTTCAGAGTTCCAGAGTGCCTGAGTTCAAATGTCATCTCTGCCACCTTTAGCTGATATCCACATGCAGTTTATCTCACTTCTCTGGGCCACAGTTTTCTCATCTTTGAAATGGGGCTAGTAGTAATACCTGCTTCAGAAAGTTGATATGAGAGCAAATCTGACATAAAGTAAGTCCTCAATAGTTGTTAGTCACTGTCATTACATTTCTTGTAGGGGTAAATGGGTGAATGTTCATCTTTTCACTATCTTTACAAAAAGCTCCAGAGGATGAAATTCAATAATGTTGGAAAAGTCCAGGGCACGGTGCTTGACACATACAAATCCTCAAAACAATGGTAGAATGTTAAGTAATGAGTCTCCTGCACCTGTGTCCCAGGGAGAGGACAGGTACAGGGAGGAATGGAGGTGGAGAAGAGAAGACATCCCGGAGTTTGCCTTTGCTCTAAGCTAGATGGAGGTCCCTTTTCCTCTCTTCCAACACTTAGTGAGCACCCCTATATCCCACCATGTGCAAATCAATTGTGAGTAAGATCTTTCCAGGAGCTTGCAGCCTTATTATTCTTTCAATACCTCCTTACCCATTGGATTCTAAATATTGATAGGTAATTTTATTAGGCAGACAAAAGTCTGTGATCATACTCTTTAACACATTCCCTAAATTAAACCCAACAATAGTCATATAATCCTAGTTACTGAGAAGGACAGATGCACAATTCCAGCTTGGATAATCTCAAATTCCAGGCTTATGATAGCTAAAGTGTTAATTTCTTATGACTCTCAAGAAATTCTAAGAAAAATGTTGGATGCATAGCACATGTCAGTTACTCTCCCCAAGCTAAGCTGCCCACTTCACATATTTGGGCCATGTTTCCTGCCTAGGACCCTTGCCACCGAAGGAGCAAACAAGTCTCCTGACTTGGGTACACCTTGTGTGTGATGGGGTGCTGCTGTGCACACCAAAGAGTCCTTCCAAACTGGTCTTCCAGTGGTGTGGTAGAATTTAGAGAGTTTCAAGGAACACATTTGTAGGAAATACATCTAAAAATGCAAAGTCAAAGGTGATTATTTTCTCCATTTCTCTCTAGGAGTGAATGGCCTTCCAGCTTGTCAGGTTGAAGTGCTGGGGGTGTAGCTCAGTGGCAGAGCATTTGTCTGGCATGCA